CCATGTGTTTCCGATGTGACGCGTGAGGGAGACACGAGCACCACCTCTGAAATATTCTTGCCCCCCCCCCCCCCAAAAAAAAGTGAACCTGAGCTGAAGCCTCAGGTGAAGCAGCCTTCTTACCTGGCCAGTTTACCACTTCTCATCTGCATCCCATCCTGTTTTTGGCTTTTTATCTTAAAATTTTTTTTCTTGATCTTCTAAGTAATTCATGCTCATCATTCATAGCTGGCACAAGGAATTAAAGATGACGATGCGGAGGGATGGGCAGCTGAGCATGGCCCTGGCCACCTGACCTCTGGGCTGGACAGAAGTAGGCCCCGTGTGGTTGCACTAAAGCTCCCTGAGCCAGGTCCTAAATCCTGTGGGGGCACAATACTCAATCAGACATGTATCCTACCTGTGTCCAGGTTGTCAGTTCTAAGGACAGATGAGAGGCCACCTAAGGTTACCTTTCTGCAATTTTTGCATACAGCTAGCTAAGAAGACTGAAGAAATGCCTGCTGTGTTGTAAAACTCCTGGGATCTGATACGTTCTGTGGGCACTGCCCAAGGGCTCAGGGCTTCCTGTGCAGGAACTTAGGTGTTGGGGAGCAGGCTTCCCCAGCTCTGCTCCAGACTCCCTAATATAACACCCTGTCTCCAGGTTACTTGACTTCAGCAAGTGGCTGTCCTCGAGCCCTCACCATAAATCCCACTGCATTTGGGTTTTCTTCCACCTGACCCCGGTTTCCTGCCCTCAGAAACCCTCCTGTTGTGTCCTCTGGCACCGTTGCACCTCCCCCTTCAAGTGTCCTTATGTTCTTGCCTTCTCCAGGACATGACCAAACCCAGGCCAGCAGTTCCACCCACATGGGGTCCGTGCGGGCTCCCAAGCCACACACCCCACAGAACTCAGGGTGGGGCGGGAATCCTGCCAGCTCCTCGGGTTTGGCATCACGCAGGTAAAAGATCTAGGGGAACGTCTGCCTGCTGCCAACCAGTTCTGCCACCGTGCACCTCTGCCCTACTTCTGCCTCCCACACCCGCCGGACCTTGGACTTGTCTTCCCGGATTGCCCTGCCTCTGCAGCCCAAAACTGCGCCGTCCTCTCTCGGCGTCTTTCTGTCGTCCCCCTCACTCCCGCTACCTCATTCTTCAGCCTCATCAGGACCTGGGGACTTGGGACTCCTTGGTTTTCTCCCACCTTCTCTGTCCCTGCAGCTGAGCCGTGCTATCATTTCAGCCACTTTCGGGGCAGAAGTTTCAGCCGTTGCCTTCAGTCACTCCTGCTCGATGAAACCCCGACCTCCACCCTGTCTGATCCTACTGACTGCTGAGTGCAGAAGTTCACAAAGCCACATGGAATCTACGATGACTTCAGGGTCTCTTATTTCACTGGGGTCCTCTGCACTGCCTGGAAATCCTTCCATGTGTCCCCTCTTGGGCGCCACAACAGCTATTCTAGGCATTCCCCTGCCATGTAAAACCCCCTTCTTCCTCCCCTCCCCTTTCCCTCCTGGAAATTACCTCACCTCTTACATCCCAGCTAAAACTGAGGCCACAGGCAGCCGTCCTCCTCCTGAAAGTGTGTGCATCCCACCATTAGTTCCTTCTATCCCATCTGCAAGGAAGATGGGTCCCTCCTACCTGAGATGCACCCCAGGCTGCGGTCCCCGGCCTCCCCTCCTGCGGGGACTGTGCTCTCTCCACCGTATGCTCAGCCTGCTACCACGGGTCCTCCCTGTCCACATATAAGGCACTCAAGCCTCTCCTGTGTTAGAAGAACACCAATAATAATCAGTCGTCTTCTACTCTCTGTCCCTACCGACCTGGCCACGACCTTCCTTCCCTTCATGGACAAACTTCCTGAGAGAAGTTCTGTCACCCCTTTCTTGTTCTGCTCACACCTCGACCCACTGCACTCTGACTGCTTTTTGTAAGCCAGTCCCTCCTTCCTTGCTCTACGTTCTTCATCTTTGCAAGAAGAAATTCCCCTAAATGACCATTTCTGCAGCTCTCTTATTCATAAAGTCCTTTCCTCCTTCCTGTGATGCTTATTCAAACACTGTTCTGGTTCCATTTTCACAGGCCTTTTGCAGATGGATTACCAGTGTTGCCCAGTATGTCCCTTGTGATCATATTTCTAAAGCTCACTTCCAAATCTAGTAACTGCTTTCACTCACAGGGAGAAGCAGTGTGTTCCACAACATGAGTGTAGAGGGGAGGGTTTCATGAGAATCAACAGTCTACACTGATCGATAGATAAATCCAGGTATTGTCACACACTCGCTCCTCTCTAAACCTTGCCATCTCTGCAGCCCAGCACTGGGATAGCAAACTGATGACACAAGGCAACGTCTGCGTGGACAGCTGGAATCTAGACAGTCTGCCACTGGATTCTGCCCCCAGGCTGTGTTAGATCAATAAATGGCCTAGATCAGAAGGAAGGGTAGGGTGGACTTTAACCAGAGAGTCTCTATCTCAAAACTGCACCAAGAGAAGACAGGATAATGTCTTAGAACATTGAATATGTTCACTGAAGTGCCAAGAGAGCAGAGAGAACATGAGTGAGAAATTAAAAAAAAACATGGGCCGGCCCGTGGCTCACTCGGGAGAGTGCGGTGCTGATAACACCAAGGCTGCGGGTTCGGATCCCATATAGGGATGGCCGGTTCGCTCACTGGCTGAGGGTGGTGCTGACAACACCAAGTCAAGGGTTAAGATCCCCTTACCAGTCATCTTTTAAAAAAAAATAATAAAATAAATAAATAAATAAAAATAAAAGATGACCGGTAAGGGGATCTCAACCCTTGACTTGGTGTTGTCAGCACCACCCTCAGCTAAATAAATAAATAAAAATAAAAGATGACCGGTAAGGGGATCTCAACCCTTGACTTGGTGTTGTCAGCACCACGCTCAGCCAGTGAGCGAACCGGCCATCCCTATATGGGATCCGAACCCGCAGCCTTGGTGTTATCAGCACCGCACTCTCCCGAGTGAGCCACGGGCCGGCCCCACCGGTCATCTTTAAAAAAAAAAAAAAAGAAATTAAAAAAAACAAAAACAAAACCACTTCTATTAGGGGCTGACCAATTAACTCCGCTGGTCAGAGCCTGGTGCTGATAACGCTAAGGTCCAGGGTTTGATGCCTGTACTGGCCAGCTGTCAAAAAACAAAACAAAACAAAAAACTTCTCTTAGGGCAAACCCTAGATGTCTTTCCTGTTTGATGTCACCTTGACAAATCTTTTCATAAAGTATGAGTTCACCACTGCATCTGCTAGAAGCCTCCTGATCCCCTCATCCAGGGTGGGATGACTTGTCCCTATAAGGCCAAACTCTTCTGGAGCTCAGTCCTTTGGATTTAGTAAATAGGAGTCTTTCTTTGCCCCGATTTCCAATGACAGTGGGTATCAAGGGGGCCCTTCTCTCATTACAGAGAGCTAGGATGGTGATTGAGACCCCTCCTCAACCCTGGGCATTTGGGACCCAAGGAGAAGGTGACCAGAGTTAAGGTGACAAAGGAGGGAAGTAGAGTGTACACCTCCATCCCCGGGGAAGTGGCATTTCAGGCTACCCGCTAAGTTCCAGACACGTGCAGCGGTGCATGGCAGGCCCGCAGTCCTGAGGCCTAGCTAGACAGATTGCCAGCACCCATGTCATCTTTCTTGCCTCGGGACTGAGCAAGTCAAGGGAAACAGAATGCATCTGTACGGTACGTGCTGACACTCCGGGCAGTCCCTGCTAATGCTATGGTGTTTGTGTCTTTCAGGTGGAGGTGCCGTGGTGAAGGCCCGGGTGCTGACCTGTGTGGAAGGCATGAATCTCCCTTTGCTGGAACAAGCTGTCCAGGCACAGAGGATGTACCAGCAAGAGAGAGACAACAGCCAGTAGAAAGAGGCAGCCCCTAGCAACCCCACCCCCCCACTGCCACCACCTGCTTCTGAGGCCAGACCCACTGTTTGATGTCACCTTGACAAATCAGATGTGTAGGCACTTCCTGCGTGACAACCTTTGTCAGGAGCCAGAGATTAGAAGGGTGGGGTGGTCGATCCCTAATTTGGAATTGTCCCAGAAATGAAGGCCCAGAAAGGAGGCACCTGAAGAAAACGGTTAATGGACTTCTGTGGTCAGCACCCAAGGATGTGTTCACTTGGCGAACTCGCAAACGAGTTAACCAAGAAATGTCAAGGATTGCAAACAATCCTTGACAACGAATTTCATCCCTTCATAAATTACCCAGTTTTAGGTATTCTGTTACAAACAATGGAAACAGACTGATACAGCTATTTATTACATGTGTCTAAAGGCTATCATATCTTAACAGTAGAATTTATATCTTTTATAAAGATACTCTGAAACTACTGCACAAAATAATAGTGGAAATTTGAGTATTTTATTGGCTAGCTATTTCATTGCATTTAAGTAATGAACAGGTGATCACAGAAGTACTATCCAATCTATTACTGCTTTTTAAAAAATTTTTTAACTTCTCAATACACATTGTAGTTGATTTTTGTGTCCTTTTACTCATTCCTCTTTCCCCACTCCCTCTCTGTTCACTTGTCTTAACAAGTTCAAGGAATTGTTGTGATTGTTGTGAAGGAAATGGTTAATGTACATCTGTGGTCAGCACCCAAGGACGTGTTCACTTGGTGAACTTGCATACGAGTTGACAACCAAGAAATATCAAGGATTGCAAACAATCCTTGAGAACGTTTGAAGCTGTAAGAACACTTTCTTGGGACGTTACCAGGAAGTGCATTATCGATAACCAAGTGCTTGAGAGGAGAGGTAACGGCCTTCTACTCTTGAGAAAAATATAACAGAATTTATGCATTAATGCTTATCTTGCACGCACAAGCTTGCTAAATGTAATAAAAGCTGTGACAGCGGCTGGGTCGGGGCTGGTCGCCTGAGAGAGCAGTGGCCCCCGCTCTTCACCTGCATCTCGTCTGCTGTGTCTTCTTTCACGTCTCCGATCATTTTAATCAACAGGCACCAGAGTCTGACACCCCCACCCCCCAGAAGACTGTGGGGGGCTGAGCTCCGGTGCTGGAGCTGTGCCTCATGTGGAGTCCTGGAGGGTTCCAGAAGGTCCTTGTGAATAAAGGCCCTGGAGGGCGTGACCTTGTGAAGTGTGCACGTGGTGCAGCGCCAGCAGGGGCCAGGAGGGGGAGCTGTGGAGCAGACAGCTGCCCCCACAGTGAGGCTGCAGCTGGCCCAGGGTTCAGGGTTTCTGGTGAATTCTCCGCTGGGGCCCTGGGGGGTGGACGCTGAAGGCCTTGGGGCCCAGGTGGAGAGCCTAGGATGCAGAGGGCCTGCCCCCACCGAGGTTCTGCTCTCGAGGCCAAACGTCGCCAAACAGGCCAGGCGTAGGCCATGGGCCCTGACTGTGCGGCCTAGGGCAGGGCGGTGGCTTCAGAAGCCCTCCCCAACCCCTGACCTCTGCCCCAAGCTGTCCCCAGCCAACCTTCTGGGTAACCTTGCACTCCCAAAGCCTGGGCCTGGTTGGGCTGAAGTGGGGGCGGGGCAGGGGAAGTTTGGGCCCTGCTGTGCCCCGTAGCTAAAGCAGGAGGCCTGGGGTTCCTGGCTCTGCTGGGTGAGGGGCACCCCTGGTTCCCAGCCATGTTCCCAGGCAGGATGGTCTGGTGGCAGTGGGGGTGGGGAGCAGGGCATCCTGGGCAGTTAACACAACTCCTTTTCCGAGAGCTGCCCAGTTATACTGGGGTGGCCACGAAGTGCGGCCCTCCCCCACTTGCACCCCAACTCACCACCAACTGGCCAGCCTCAGCCCTGTCCTACACTCTGGAGCTCGGTGGGTGATCAGTATGTGCCAAGGAGCACAGGTCCCCATCACTGGGGGATGGGCCATCCGTATGGGGCGTGGGGCGTGAATGCCTGGGCACTGTCTGTTTCCTGGGCAGCTCTGCGGACATGGATGTGTTCCAGAAGATAGAGAAGATCGGAGAGGGCACCTATGGAGTGGTGTATAAGGCCAAGAACAAGGAGTCAGGGCAGCTCGTGGCCCTCAAGAAGATCAGGCTGGATCTGTGAGTACTGGGATGGCCTCTGAGTCAGGGGGCCCAGGGCCACCCGCAGCCCGGGAGCTCCCCCTCCATTCCCTCATCTCAGGAGTTAACACAACTCCTTTTCCGAGAGCTGCCCAGTTATACTGGGGTGGCCACGAAGTGCGACCCTCCCCCGCTTGCACCCCAACTCACCACCAACTGGCCAGCCTCAGCCCTGTCCTACACTCTGGAGCTCGGTGGGTGATCAGTATGTGCCAAGGAGCACAGGTCCCCATCACTGGGGGATGGGCCATCCGTATGGAACACAGCAGTGAATCCCTTGGCTAGAAGCACCCTCCATGCCCACTGCTGTACCTCCTTTCCTTTAGGGAGGTCGAGGGGGTCCCAAGCACCGCCATCAGGGAGATCTCCTTGCTCAAAGAACTGAAGCACCCCAACATCGTCAGGTGAGTTGGGGAAAGAGTCTGGGAGCTGGGACAGGGAAGGTCATGCCCTGACTGGCACCTCCCTGCCAGGCTGCTGGATGTGGTGCACAATGAGAAGAAGATTTACCTGGTGTTTGAGTTCCTCAGCCAGGACCTGAAGAAGTACATGGACTCTGCCCCAGCCTCGGAGCTCCCCCTGCACTTGGTCAAGGTACCAGGGAAGGCTGGGAAGACTAGGGGACACCCCACCCAGCAGCCACCGTCCGCTCAGCCGGCTCTTTCTTCTGCTCCTTACTCCAGAGCTACCTCTTCCAGCTGCTGCAGGGGGTGAATTTTTGCCACTCTCATCGGGTCATCCACCGAGATCTGAAGCCCCAGAATCTGCTCATCAGTGAGATGGGTGCCATCAAGCTGGCTGACTTTGGACTGGCTCGAGTCTTCGGGGTGCCCCTACGCACTTACACCCACGAGGTATTGCGAGATGAAGAGGAGAGAAGGACAGCTGAAGGAATGTCACCTGTGTACTCAGCCACCCTGAAAGATGCTGTTTTCTTGCCCCTGCAGGTGGTGACACTGTGGTATCGCGCCCCTGAGATCCTCTTGGGCAGCAAGTTTTATTCGACAGCTGTGGATGTCTGGAGCATTGGTTGCATCTTTGCAGAGATGGTAGAGAGGGGGACAAGCATAGCCACAGGGAGGCCATAGGCAAGGTCCTACTGGGATGGCGGCTGGGGAATCCCTGGTAACTTTTGTTAAGGATGGATTAAGGGGTGTTGAGGACTGCCTAGAGGACTGAGGAAGCCAGCCTTATTCCAGAAAAGGCTAGAATTCTTAGCACAGCCCTGGGCGAGATATCTTGAGGGTCCCTCCTTGATTCTGGCCACTTATCTGGTATTAGATTCTGTATGACAAAGTGATAGACCCCACACCTTCTCTTCTTCCTCATTCCAGGTGACTCGCAAAGCCCTGTTTCCTGGTGACTCTGAGATTGACCAGCTCTTTCGTATCTTTCGTACCCTGGGAACACCCAGTGAAGCCATATGGCCAGGGGTCACCCAGCTGCCTGATTATAAGGGCACCTTCCCCAAGTGGACCAGGAAGGGGATGGAGGAGATTGTGCCCAATCTGGAGCCAGAGGGCAAAGATCTGCTTATGGTAGGTACAGGTGGCCAAGAAAAACCACTTAGCTTTAGCCACTGCTCAACCAGAATGTCCCCTTTCTCGGCCAGCTTCTCACATAACCCTGGTTCTCTCTGAGTCCAAGCTGGTCTCTTTCCCAACCCTTGTGTACACCTGTACATCCCTGTCCCTGTGTGTACTGACTGTTCAACCTGGAAGCCTCTCCTGTGATAAGTCCAATGTTCCTCTTCCCTGTTGAAACTTCTCTCATCTAGTTAGTCTTTGTGCTGTGACACCAGCCCCTTCCTCCTGGTTGGCTTGCGTCTTTGGTTACTCTCTCACGTGGACATATTGCCCCATCTGAACTGTGCGCTTCCACAGGCAGGGCAAGCTTCCTACTGCCTTGGTGTCCCCTCAGTGCCTTCCTCAGTGGTGTGGTGAGTCTTCACACGAGGCTGTTCAGACAGGCTGTTTCCTTCCACCCGGGCCCCTGCCATGGTCCTCTCACTGTTCCTGTTGTACCATCTTGACCCTTGGGCTGGCTCAGGCCAGACTGCCCAGAAGGCCTCAGGCAGGGCGCCTGGTTCTTGTCCACAAAGGCTCGGAGCCACATTTCTCTTTTTAATCTAGTGTTGGGTCAGAGGAAAGCAGGGCAGTATTTTCCTCTTCAGGCTGTGTGTTGTCTCCCAACCCAGTGCCAGCAGGGTGGCGGGGACTTCCAGCCAAGGCTCTTAGCACCCCATCCAGGCTGCTCCATGGCAGCGGGTCCTTCCACATCCTGCCTGGGCCTAGGGACTCCAGGGCAGAGAGCTGGACAGGTCTGGCCTCTTGTAGTGTGAGCTTCTCCTTTCCTCCCTCCCTGCTGTTTGAATTCCCGCCCCACCTCATCTATACCCCTAGACAGGTTTGTCCCCTGTTCCCTGAAACAAGAGAGATGTCTCTGTTCTCAACTAGAAGCAGGCTGGGACCTGGAGCCCTCAACAAGGAGGAGGAGCTGACTCAGCTTTGGCTGCCTGAAGGAGACCTGTGTGACTCATGGGGCTGGGGAGAACTAACTCTTTGTCCCAGATTCTGGGAGTGTCCAGAACTGGCTCGAGAGCTGGGCAGTGGTGGCTACGTGCAGTCCTGGGCTTGAGGGCAGCCACTTTGGGGCTCAGAGCACTCTGGCTGGGACCTGGGAGGGGAATTCCTCTCCCCACCCTGGCCACACCCAGTCCAATCTCTTTCCTTATCTTTCCCAGCAACTCTTGCAGTATGACCCCAGCCGGCGGATCTCGGCCAAGGCCGCCCTTGCCCATCCGTACTTCTCATCTGCGGAGCCCCCCCGGGCCCCCTGCCAGAGAGTGCTGAAGCATTTTTGCTGCTGAGAACGTGGAGGGCCCACCACCTTGAATCCTCTCTCCAGGGGCTACCCCAGCTGCCTCCCCACCCATTTCCCAAGAGAGAGGACAAATCTGGGGAGAGAGCAAAGCTCTAAGGAATTTGGCATCAGCCGTCAGAGGGCTGAGTTTGGGCTAGTCCTGCCAGCAGGTTAGCGAGTTCTTCTGTTGTTTGTTGGGTTTGACGGTGCTGTTTCAAAACGGGCACAGATGCTCCATGCATGGGGGTGTACGTTAGAGGGGGTACTCCAGCACTGGAACAACAGGTGCCAAGTTGAGAGCAGGAAGCCTGCCCTGGCGCTGCTGACTAGGTAGTCCTCAGGCCTTCACCTGCCCCGGCCTGCAGCAGCAGAGCCAGACGCCTAGGAAAGGGTGCCCCCTGCTGGGCTTTTTGGATTTAAAATGTTTGGGGGAAGAGTTGAGTTCCAGTTCAGAGTGCCAAGTTCAGGACGAGGGGGTGAGGGAGAGGAGAGAGGGCACTTTCCTGATCCTAGGAGAGGTCGGGGCCAATGCGGCTGTTGTAACTAGTTGTCACTTCACCCAAGATATGCTTATGTTGGTTTGCTTCTGGCTTGTCAAACAGGAAATAAACGTGACATTCCTGAGTTTCTGTCCTTGTTCTGCTCATGGGGAACACCTGGGTTTGCCAACAAGTGGGAGATTGACAGGGGCTGGAGACAGTCCTGTCTTTTTTTTTTTTTTTTTTTGTCTTTTTTCGTGACCGGCAACGGATCACAACCCTCAGTGTCGCGCCCGTACAGGGCCGGGACCGGCCATGGGATCACAACCCTCAGTGTTGCCCCCGCGCCTCGCTCAGCCAGTGAGCGGCCGGTCTGTATGTGGGATCTGAACCCTCGGCGGGAGCGCTGCCGCGCTTCCCAAGCGGCGCACTGTAGCAGTGCGCCACCGGGCGGCCCAACAGTCCTGTCTTAAACTGAGACGGTGGGGAAGGTTGGAAGGGGCTGGTGAGGAGGGGGCTGCTGCTCCATGATCTCTTTCCATGGGCTGCCACCGCATCTCTGCCCAGAATCCAAGGAAGCACAGCCCTCTGAGAACACCTCATTTCCCAGCCAGAAGCAGTGGGCACGTCCACTCCTCACCTGGGGAAGGACCCAAGCAATGCTGTCTCTGTGCTCACACCCCAGACAGATCCATCTTGCATCCCCAAATGTGAATGAGACATGGAACTGGAAGAATTCATTTATTGGAAGCATTGGATCGGGGAGGAGGGAGGAAAAACTGAGCTGCTGAGCACCTGGTCTGGGGAAGGATCCAGGACCAAGGTTCAGGGAGGGAGCCCAACACCATGAATGTCTGAGTAATAAAATACTGGTCAGACAGAGCGAACACCCACTGCCTCGGATTAGGCTGCTCTGGGGACGAGGGGGTGCATGCATCTTACCCAGCCCCCCAACACACACACTGCCATGACTGCGAGGCCCCCTCAACGCAGGGAGCGTGGTACGGTGGGAGAGGCTGAGCGGTAGCAGCGGTACCCCTCCAGCGCGGCGGGGAGGAGAAGCAGGCCGCTCAGGGGGTCTTTCCGGCAGCGCCCCATGGCCTCCTTGTAGCTCAGCCGTTCCTTGGAGATGGGGTCTGTCAAATCCTTCTCGTAGCTGGACTCATCCTGCAGGACCTGGGCCAGCTCTTCGCTGATCATTCCGGAGAGCACGGCCTGGGGGATGGGGATGCGGCCTGTCCTCTTGGGATCGATGAGCCCCCCAGTCAAGTGCTGCACCTGCAGGTGCGGGAGCACGCTCTCTCGGGGCATCCAGCCCTTCTGGACAGCCTCGCCCACCGACAGCCTTTTCTTGGTGACAGGGTCCTCGATGCCAGTGAAGGCCTTCTGGGCATTGAGCAGCCTCTGTGTGGAGGTGTTCTCGATCAGCCCCCTCTCCAGGGCCTTGTGCACGGAGTAGCGCTCACGGCTGAGGAGGTCCACGATGCCCCCTGTGGCTGCCTGGGCCTCCAGCAGCTTCTGCCCGGTGATGGGGTCCAGCATGTTCTTGGCCACAGCTGTCTTGATGCTGCACTTGTTGTCGGTGGTGGTGTCATAGACCCCGGCTATGGGGAAGCTGTCATCACTGAGCCCGAGACAGAAACCGGGGGAGAAGAAACCAGTACTCTGGGATGCTGGGGAGGTGAGAGGGGACTTCGAGATGATGGAGCCAAGGGACAGCAAGGAGCTGGGCTTGGTCTCCCCCGCCACGAGCAGGGCAAACTCAGAGATGGGGAGGTGGCCGTCCTTGTACAGGTGGTACTCCTCCTTGGAGATGCGCCGGCAGCGGAGGGCGGCCTCGATGGAATACTGCTTCCCGCTCTTGCGGTCCAGGAGCACGGACTCCTCCCCGCAAGGGCCTGAAGTGGTGATCTCCTCCCAGTCGCACTCGAGCTCCTGCAGCTGCAGGTACTGGCCTCGGTCGATGATGCCCCTCTTGTAGGCCTCGTACGGGGACATGTCCATCCCTGTGTCGGGTTCCAAGATGGAGATCTTGGTGGACAGGTTGGTCTCCCGTGTCTGGGTCTCCTGGCTGAGCTCCTCCCGGCTCACTTTGGTGTGCAGGTCCCGGAGGGTCCTCTCCTTCTCGTAGATCTGGTCCTTCTCGTGGAGGATGGCCGCCTCCAGCTGCGAGAGCACCTGGCCGCGCTGGGCCGCCTTCTGCCGCTCGCTCTCCGTCTTCTGGCTGAGCAGCTCCGACTCCTCCTGCAGCTGCAGTGCCTTCTGCTGCTTCTGCCTCTCCAGCTCCCGCAGCTCCTGCTGCAGGCGCCCGCACTCCTGGGCTGCCTGGTCTCGGGCCTTCTGCAGCTCGGCCTCTTCCCGGGACCAGGTCCTCCCCAGGGCCTCGGCCCTGTCGATCCGCTCCCGCAGGTGCCGCCCCTCCTCCTCCCGGCCCTGCCGGGCTGTGCGCTCCCTGGTGAGCATCTCCCACACCCGGGCCCTCTCATCCTCCAGCACGCGGTCCTTCTGCACCCTTATCACCTCCTTATAGATGGTCTTCTCCTGCAGCTTGGTTTTCTGGAGGACATCGATCTGGACCTGCAGGTTCTTGCACTCCCGATGCAGCTCTGTCACCTGCGTCTTCTCCTGGTCCAGGTCCCTCCGCAGGGCTTCCGTGGACTTCTCCAGGTCCGGGTCCTTCTCCAGCTTCACCACTTCCTCCATGATGATCTTCTCCTGCACCGCCGGGGGCCGCGTCTCGAGCTCCTGGATCCGCAGGGTCAGCTGGCGCAGCTCCCTCTCCACGGCCAGCTTCTTGCTGCGGTCCTCCTGGAAGCTGAGCAGGCCGTCCTTCTCCTCCACGTCGGCCCGCAGCTGCTGCACCTCGCGCTCCAGCTGCCGCCGCCGGCCCACCTCCTCATCCAGGCTCCGGCTCAGCCGGCTGTGGTCATCGCGCAGCTTCGGGTCCTTTTGGGTGACCACCACCTCCTGGACCACCACCTTCTCCTCAGGTCTCCTCCTTTCCAGCAGCAGGTACTTGTTCTGCAGCTCGTAGACCACGTCCTCGGCAGCCCGCCTCTTCTGGGCTGCTTCCCGCACCTCCTGGCGGAGCCGCTCGGCCTCCTTCTCCAGCACCGGGTCCTTCTCGTGGCGCACCACCTCCTTGCTTACTGTCCTGGTCTCCACTTTGGACCGCTCCCGTCTCCACTCGTCGCGCTCCCCCTGCAGCCGGATGAGCTGCTCCTGGGTGCGCCCGTCGCTGTTGACCAGCTCATTGAGCTGGGCCTTCAGGCGGTCGATCTCGCGCAGCACCTCCGGGTTCCTCTCGTGCCTCACGACCTCTTGGGTCACCTCCTTGTACTCCACCGTGGGCTTCTGGGCCCGCAGGACCTCCAGATCGGGCAGCAGCGTCTGCACCTCCTTCTCTACGCTGCTCCTCTTGCTGGCGGTCTCTTGCAACGCAGCCCTGAGCCGCGCGATCTCCTGCTCTGTCTCCGGATCCACCTGGAAGACCTCGTTGACCCGCTCCTGGAGCTGCACCTTGGGCTTCTGCTTCTCCACCACGCTGTACTGGCCATGCAGCTCCCTCAGCTCCCTGGCCAGTGTCGCGTTCTTCTTCCTCTCTCCTTCGAGCAGGTTTCGCAGCCTGGAGGACTCTCTGAGAAGGCCCGGGTCCTGCTCCACCTTCTTTACCTCCTTCACGATGACCTTGGGCTCCACTGAGCTGATCGCCCGCTCCAGGTCCTCGATGCGAGCCTGCAGCTTGGCTGCGGCCTCCTCCGCCCCCTTCCTACGTGCAGCATCCTCTTTGATCTGCAGCCTCAGAGCCCGGGCTGCCTTGACCATCTCCAGATCCTTCTCCACCTTGACCACTTCTTTCACCACGACCTTCTCCTGCACGTTCGCCTCCCTCTGCTCAAGGGCCAGCAGCTCCTTCTTTAGCTCTTCCAGCCGGGCCGAGACAATGACGTCCTCCCCCTGTAGCTGCTGGATCTCGCTGCTGAGCTGGGCCGCCTGGCTGTCCATGCTGGGGTCCCTCTCGATTTGGGTGACCTCCTTGGTCAGCAGATGAGGCTGCACGGTCTTCCTCTGGCTCTCCAGCTGGACGACCTTCTGGGCCACCGCCTCCAGATCTGCCTGCAGGCCAGCCCGCCGCTTGCCCTCCTCCTCCACCTGGCACTTCACCCTGGACAGGCTGCTCTCCAGCTGGGGGTCCCGGTAGAACTCCACCACCTCCTTCTCCTCCAGCCTCTCCAAGGGCCGCTGAGTCCTCAGCTGCAGCAGCTGGCGCCTCTGCTCCTCCAGCTCACGCTGCACCTGGGCCACCCGCTTCCTCTCTTCCTCCAGCTGGGACTTCAGGGCCTCTGACTCCCTTCCAGCTCCGGCTGGGCTCTCAGAGCCTTGCTTTGCATCGTGGGTCACCTGGCTGTCCTCATTGAGCTCCTTCTGCAGGGTGAGAGGAAGGAAGAGGACTGGGGTGGGGGTGGAAAGATAGGAGCCCCTTTTCTCTACATCGTACCCCTGAGATCAGAGACCCCTCCCTCCCTCCTGAGACTTCCTGTTAGGTCTCAGGAGGAGGAGCTGAAGACCTGAGATGCTTGGATGCAAGATTTTGGGAAGTTAATGCCATGATGTTAATACACAAGGCAGTGGTTTGGCCAAGTTTGAACGAGAAGTGCAAGTAGGACAGGTTCTCCCTTCTGAGCCTTTCCCCTTTCTTCTTCCACCCAGGCTCCCAGGAATGGCCCCCTACTCCTCTGGGGGCTGTTGCGCTATGGCTGAGAGTAGTAGAAAAGCAGACAAGTCACCAAGAGCCAGGGGGAGCTTCTGGCTCCTGGTTGACCAGGGAGGGAGACCATGGTGGCTGTTGCCATTGTGGCTAGGTCCTAAGGCTGAAGACCCTGTGGGCTTTTCTCTGCTCTCTGGGGTAGGAGGTCCTGTCCCCATTGGAGGACTGCTCAGTGGCTAAGCTGTGAGTGCACTGAATGACATCTCCAGGGTTAACTCTAGCATGGATACCAGCCTGTAAGAGCTGCTGGGGAGAGAACCATGGGAGGCAGGGAGCTGCCCGCCCCCCCTTCAGCTGCCAACCCTGCTCAAATGCTGTAGCGGGAGGAGGAAGAGCAGACTGCCAGGCTAACGGCCCGGCCAGGCTGGCTATGGTGGGAATGGAGCGGACATTGTCTTTGTACCTTCTCCAGCATCTTTTTAGCAAACTCCAGCTGGTGCAGCTGCTGTTGGTGTGCAGCTGCAACCTCAGTATAGGCCTTTGCAAGGTTCTTCTCCTGGAGAGGGAAAGGGAGAGACAGAGAGGGCCAAGTCAGCTCCTGCCTTAGAGGCTGCAGAGCTGGTGCTGAGGGACACTGAGCCCCACCAGGTCCCATCTCACCTGGGCCTGGATGTTCTCCTGCAGGGGAGCCACACGGGGCCTCTTGGAGGCTGGCATCACCAGGGTGGGCTCCAGGGAGCAGCGGTAGGTGTCTGCCTGTAGCTCATAGTCCTGAGCAGGGAGGAAAGGACAACAGGCAGGAAGTCAATGAGGAAGTTGGGCATGGAGGAGCAGTTAACTGGAAGAGGGAGGGAGGGTGGTGGATAAAGAGGGACAAACTGAAGTAAAACTGCTTACATGGAGCGCTGCCTGCAGCTCCTGGGAGAGACGGGACGCCGTGGCCCTGTCCTGCTCTCGGCCCTGGATTTCCTGCACCAGCCTCTGCCAGAGAAGTGAGAGTCAGGGAGGCCAGGAGAAACCACTCACCCTCACTCTCCTCCAGCTGGTGCCTCCAGGGCCACAGGCAGCCAGCAGGCCCCTGGGACAGGAAGGGCTGTGTGGGGGACCTGGAGCAGGAAGTCCTTCGTTTCCCTGACATTATTCTCTCTGCTTTTTCTCCTTCCCCTCCTTGGCAGAGTCCCTTTCTTCTTCCTAGGCCCCCTGAGAATTCTGTCCTAGCTGAGGGGTTCTCCCGCTGCAGTGTGCATGAGAACCACCTGAAGGCTTTGTCAGAACACAGCCACGCTGTGCCCACCCACCCGGTCTGATTCTGCAAGGCTGGGGTGAGAAGTTGCATTTTTGACAAGGGCCAGGTGCTGCTGCCTCTGCTGGTCCAGGGCCCACACTCTGAGAACCGCTGCTCTGCTGCAATGGTACTTAACCCTGGCTGCCCACTTTCACTCACCTGGGAACTTTAAAAAAGTACCAATGCTCTGACCCCCACGATTCTGATTTAATTGATCTGGGGAGGGGTTCTGACCTGGGGATGTTTTAAAAGCTCCCTGGGAGATTCTGATCTGCAGCCCAGGCTGAGAATCTCTGTCCCAGACCCTGTTCCTGATGCCACTGCCCACTCTTTCCCATACGTTCTCATTTTCCCACAATCCCAGACCCATTTTGGTTCTCACGAGCTCCCCGTGGCACCCCCAGCCCTCATCTGCCTCCCGTAACCCACCTCCTGCTCCCCAGGCCCTGTTGACTGTCCTGGGCACCTCACACTCAGCATGACCCAACTGACTTCATTTCCTCTTCCCAAATGTGCTCTGTCCCATCTCCTCACCACAGGAGGGGACACCCCCCCTTTCCAGGTGTCCCCAACAGAACTCTGGGCATCATGGAGACCTGTCTGTCTCGCTCACTGCCCCCTCCAGGCAGTCACCGGGCCTGCCTAATGCTGCCATCTCTGTCTCAGATCTACCTACCTTGTTCTGTCTCATGGTCCCTGTCCCCGGTCCAGGCCACCGTCCCCTCTCATCACCTGGATTTCTACCTGACTTCTCATGGGCCTCCCTGTCTTCATTCCCACCCCCCTCCCAGCCATTCTCCACTTGGCAGCGAGAGCCAGCGTTCAAATACCATCCGAGTCTCCTCCCCGGCAGCTTCCTGGTGCTGCAGGGAAGAGTCCAGCCTCCTGTCCGTGGCTGGAGGGGCCCGTGTGGTCTGCTCCTCATCCAGTCACTCTCGCCCTTGAACCCCCCTCCTTTCTCCTGGCTGCCATGCCACCTGCTTGGACATTTTGCCCCCTCCACCTGGCCCACACTATTCCTCGGGTCTCAGCTTAGGTGTCCGTTCCTCCCACACACTCGCCCTAACCCCCACGAGTATCCTGCAGGGGCCTCCCGTAGTGCTCAGGTACAAAGTGCCTATCACTGTCACAGCCTGTGACGCACTGGCCTTCCCTACCAGACTCTGAGCTGCCTGAGGGCTGGGACTGTGCCCCCAGCCCCAGGTTCATTGCCTAGTAATGAGCCTGTTCCTGTGTGAACACAGCAGGGACTTGCAAAGGAGGAGAAGGAGGATGCCAGTGGTGGCTGGAACCCCCCAGCAACTCTGTAGCCTGAGCATGAATCCCGCTGCCTACCTTGGACCAGAGAGAAATGAGCTGGCTGCTTCTGTGGGCACAATGGAGCACTTCAGATGGAGGTTGGGGAAAGGGGTGACCCAAGCCTTCTGTGGTCTCAGCTCTGAGGCCTCTTAGAGCGCTTTTGAGCCTTGGCCACTAGAGGCCACATGTGCACAGGCAGCTGTCCCTGTGGCAGGGTGGGGGGTGGGAGGCCAGCCAGTGGGGAGAAGTGCCCAGCTCTTGGTAGGGGTCTGACCTGCCCTTGGGTCACTGGCAGCCCCAGCCCCTCACCTTCTGTGCTTGCAGCTTGTAGGCAATCTGGCTGGGCCCGTCCCTGGGCTGCACCTGGTTGTGGGGTAGGTGCTCCAGCCAGGAGCTCAGATTGTCCCTGCAGTTCTTGAACTGCTGGTAGGTGAGGCCAACATCCTGCACCGTCTTCTCCCTACAGAAGGACAAGGCCCAGAGCAGAGCTGAGAGCCGCCTCTGGGGACAGGTGTGAGTGATGGAGGAGGCTGGCAAGTGACCTGCTGTGCAGATCCCCTACTCTTTGACCCTGTGCTGGAGCTGGGGATTGAGACATGGAACAGTCTCTGCCAGGCACCACCCTGGGAGGTAAGTACTGTTATCATCTTATTTTAGAGGTGAGGAAACTGAACCTCAGAGAGGTGAAGTTACCAGTCCAAGGTCACACAGCTTGTTGGCAGCAGCCCTGGGGCTCCACCCCAGCCCATGTTTCGTGGGGGCTGCCCTGTGCCCTGAGGCCAGGCCACTCACCGCAGGTCCAGCTGGTCCCCCGCAGCATGGTAGCGGTCGGTGAGGGCTCGCACCTGGCGTTGCTGGCGCAGCAGGTCTGGGCAGAACTCACGGAAGTTGTTCTGCAGTGCACTGCACGCATGCTCGGCAGCTTTCAGCTCGCGGTGCAGCCCCAGCACGCAGGTCTGCTGCTCCAGCAGCTCCCTCCGCTGGCGCTGGGGAGCAGGGGACACAGCGTCATGAGTCCTCGTGGTTCGGTGAGATGCCATGTCCACCTCCCACCTGCCCCTGAATGCTTGGTCAGGCTGTGCCCTCCCCCCACTAGTAGGCTGCCCACCGCCCTCACCTGCAGCTCGTTGATTCTCTCCTGCAGTGCCCCGGGGCCAGCAGGGATGGGGGCCTCTTTTGCCAGAGTGGACTCAAAGCCTCGAATGACCCTGTCCGCATCCTGGATCTGCTGCTCCAGACCCAGGGCAGCCTTGGCTCTGCAAGGAGGAGCCAACGGTCAGACCCCCCTCAGCCACACGCTGCTGCCCTGCCTGGCCCTGTCCCCAGCGTACTCACTTCTCCCCATAGAGGCTGCACAGAACCTGCACGTCACTGTACTTGTTCTTGACGTTGTTGAGGGCCACGGGCAGCTGCAGGGTGGTGGGGCCCACGGGCTGTGCCGACAGAAATGCCTCACATTCCTGCTGAGCAGCCTCCTTCTCGGCTCCCAGGCTCTGCAGGCGCTGGGCTGTGCCCTGGGGAGGGGATGGGGTCAGGGATCTCCGGGCAGGTGGGTTCTGCCCAGCTTTCCTGCCAGGTCAATCTAACTCTGCAGCCATGGAGGCCCAAGAGTGTGGTGGGTACATGCTCAGGCTCGGGCCAGAGAACCAGGTACAATCCTGGTCCCGCTTGTCCCCATGTGGATGACTTAGGGCAGGTCAACCTCTCTGGCCCTGTCTCCTCATCTGCAGAATGACCGATGGCAGGATGGAGTGAGAACGTCAGGAACCCCACAGTGAGTGCCAGGCACACAGTTGCCTGCCATGGTCTTCATGTCACTATCCTGCTCACAAAACCTTCAGGTCCCCTCTCTGTCACTCCAGGATCAGGCAGCCATGCCCCGGCTCTGTCCACTTGGGTTACTGCCTTCATTCTTGTGTCAGCCACTCACTCCTCCACTCCCTAAGTCACTGTTTAGTGCCGACTCTGTGCCAGGCGCTGCCTACGACCAGTCTAACTGGGCTTCTCATGGCTCACAACGCTGCTTACACAGCAGACACTGTGACTTCAAAACCCAAGGACAGATTTGGGTGTGACGGCCTCAGCTGCCAGCCTGATGGGGACCACCATGCCCCTGGGCTGTCAGCGAGTGCTCCTGGGTGGGCCGAGGCCTCTGTGGAGACTGCACAGCGCCCCCTTCTGCCCTCCTGCTTTGGTCCCTCCCTCCACAGGTGTCCCTTCCACTAGACCCTCCGGATGAGTGTCTGGCACTTTCCTCTCCATCCTGGAGTTGTCCCCCAGGACCCAAGTGCAACCCCTCTGCTCCTGCTTTCCCCTCCCTGCCACCTAGCACCCTGACCCCGCTGAGCCGCAGCCCCTGACAGCTACAGAATGTTGTGGAGAGAAAACAGAGTTGCACAAGAATGTGAACAACACGATTCAAATTTCTTAGAACCACACACACAGGATGTAATACACTTGAATAGAAGCCAGTCTGGAAGGAGACTCCAGGCTGCTGCTCCAGGTGTGGGGAAGGGCAGCCTTCACTTCCAGCACTTTTGGGGTGCTGAGTGCACGTGGCAGACAACGTGTTCTTCTCTGGTAATTTACACAACAATGCTGCAAGCTCTCTGGGAAGTCTCCCCCTTCAGCCAGGAGAAATCACCCCTAACATACCCCAAGTTTCCTTGATGCTCTCAGAACCTTCCCCAGATACCTCCCGGGTGTGGGACCTTTAGTTGGGCTCTCCTAGAACCTTCCCAGGCGTTACCACGCTTCCTCCTCAGGATAATCAGATGAGCTGGGTATTGTTATGCTTGTTTCAGGGATGAGGAAACCGAGGCCCAGAGAGGTTAAGAGACTTGCCCAAGGTCACAGAGCTGGTTAGTAGAGGAGCCAGGATGAGAGCCCTGGACTGTCTGCTCCCCTCCTCCATCTCGGGTCCTGCTGGCTGCTCCCACACTTGGCTCATCTCCCCCTAGAGTGTGTGCCCCCCCCCAGGGTGGGCCGCTTTTCACCCCAGCTGCCCCAGCCTGCTGCTCGCCCACCTTGTGGCTGCGGATACGGCCCTCCAGGTCCTCCAGTGGGGTGCTGCGGCTCAACGGGGCCCGGGCCCAGGCCAGCACCTGCCTCTCTATCTGCCCCAGGTCCCCGTCTAGTCGGGTCATCTGCGTCAGGAGCTTCTGGGCCTGTGGGTCAACTGGGGCCGAGCCAGCAGGAGCTGGGAGCAGAGGGTGCTGGTGAGGGTCGAGGGTCTACCTCATGTCGGCCAGATGGGCCTTCCCCAGGTGCGTGCAGAGGGTCCTGTAGGGAGTGGGTCCGGGAGGGGGGTGGGCAGGGCCTAACTGAGGGAGGGACAGCCTCACAGACTTGCCAACCCAGGAGAGGGCATCCCCAGAGCAGACGTGCCTAAGCCAGGGTCACCCCATGCCCATCACATCACCACGACAGTGGCCAAAGTAGGAATCTACTCCCTCTCCCCCTCTCCCGGGCCAGCCCTTAGTACCTTGCTGGCCAGGCTGTAAAGGCTCCACAGTACTGGACTTCAGGTGGCTCTGGACCATGGCCAATTTCTGCTTCAGGGCCTGCAGCTCTGAGGTCAGCCTAGAACAAGGGGGAGATCAGAGAAAGACATCTGTCCTCTCTCTCTCCCTCCCCAGCCACAGGAGTCACTGCTCCAGGCAAAGGCCAACATTTGGGCAGCCAACCAGCCTTGACCCCTGAGTATCCCCAGGCAGACCCACCTAGAGGTCCTGGCCACGGCCTCAGGGTCGGGTGCTGGGATGCAGAAGCAGGCGGCTGGGGCACTCTTGGTCTCTCCACCAGCACCCTGCACAACCCAGGTGTGCGGGTCAGTGTTATCCATCAGCGTGTACTGCTCTCCCCGCAGCAGCTGCACCTGGGGGGCAGGTGGCAGGGGGCTCATGCAAGCTCAGGGCAAGGGCCAGAGTGGGGGGCCAAGGCTGAGATGGGGTAGGGGCTGGGGACAGGGACAGGTGGGGACAGCAGCTGGAACAGGAACTAGAGTAGGGGTGGGAGGTGCTGGGGTGGGGACAGGGACAGGTCAGAGGCAATGCAGGGCTTGGAGAGGGGGCACTGAGTCAGGGAAAGGGAGTAGGGCAGAGGCAGAGGCAGGGGTGGCATGAGG